GAGGAGACTGTGAGGAGCAGCCCTGCTCCAGTGCTCCTAGGCCACAGACAAATGCTCTTGGTCCCAATGCTGGTACCCAAAGCCCCCTGAACACAGATCAGACATAGCAGCTCGGTGTGCCTTGGCAGACCCCCAGCTGCCTTGACAAGCAGTGCCCCGCCTATCCCCCCATATTGGCGAGTGGGTTGCCCATTCCTCTTCCTTTGTGAGTGGAGCACCTGGCCTGCCCCCTCCTCCAGCAGAGCAGTGCCTGGCCTGTATCCTGCATTAGCAGAGTAGCACCTAGCCCAACCAGCCTCCTCCACTAATGGGGCATTGCCCAATGGCACTCTTCACCAGCAGAGCAGTGTCCAGTTATCCCCTCCACCAGAGGAGCACTCCACCAGCAGCGTCCAGCCTGCCCTGTCACCTTAACACTTGGCCCGCCTGGACATAGGGACCTGCTGCCCTATCCAGCATGCCCAACCTGGTGCCCCTAGACAGCTGGCCGCCACCACCTTGATATAGTGTGCCTGGCCCTGCTACCATGACCCAATGCCCTAAGATCCATGAACTTGCCACCTCAACTGCTTGTGCCTGACTCAGCACCCCTGTACAAATGGCCCTGCCACCTGATACTACCCAGTTGACGTTTCCTGATGCCCCTGGGTGCATGGACCTGCCACAGTGACCAGGAACCTAATCAAGTGTCACCAGAAGATTGGACCCACCATTGCAACCAGGTGCGACCACTCATTTCTGAACACATGGAACCGCCCCATGACCTTGCCTGCCTCACGCAGTACTCTGGACTACCAGACAGCTAAAATGGGAAGACAAAGAAACAACTGCCAAATGAAATAAAAGGATTAGAAAACTGTGGTACATATACACAATGGAATACTATGCGGCAGTAAAAAAAAAAAAAGGAGCTCTTGCCTTTTGCAACAGCATGGATGGAACTGGAGAGCATTATGCTAAGTGAAATAAGCCAGTCAGAGAAAGATAAATACCACATGATCTCACTCATTTGTGGATTATAGAGAACAACATAGACTGATGAAAAGGGACAGACCCAAAGACTGAGAAATAGCGATCAGGCTATCAATCCCCAGAAGGGAAGTAGGGGAGGGCGGGGGGAAGGGGAAGAGATCAACCGAAGGACTTGTATACATGTATATAAGCCAAACCAATGGACATGGACAACAGGGGATGGGAGCATGAGTGTGTGTTTCGGGGCGAGGTTGGGGGTTAATGGGGGGGAAGAGGACACATTTGTAATACCTTAATAATAATAAAAGAAAAATAAAAAAAATAAAAGGAGCAGTCACCAGAAAAGGAACTAAATGAAATAGAGGCAAGTAATTTGTCAGATAAAGAATTCAAAGTAATTGTTATAAGGGTGCACAAACAATTTAGTGAGAACTATCAGCAACTCATTATAAGAAACTTAATGAGAATTATACCAACATGAAAAAAGAGGTTAAAACAATGAATAAGAGTCAAGCAGAAATGAAGAATGACATAGCTGAAATAAAGAATATCCTGGAAGTATTCAACTGTAGACTAGAAGAAGCTGAGGACCAACTCAGTGAATTAGAAGACAAGGTAGGAAAAAAAAATACCTATTCAGAGCAGCAATTGGAAAAAGAAATTAAAAAGCAAGAGGAGACTTTAAGGGAGCTTTGGGACACCAAGAAACATAACAACATCTGCATAATAGGGGTGCTAGAAGGAGAAAAAGTTGAGCAAGCACTAGAAAACCTGTTTGAGGAAATAATGACAGAAAACTTCCCTGACCTGGTGAAGAAAAAAGTCACACACAAGCCAAGGAAACACAGAGATCCCAAAGAAGATGAACCCAAAAGACCCACAACAAAACACATCATAATTACAATGGCAAACATTAAAGACATCTGTAATACTTTCAATAATAAGGATAAATAAATAAAAATTTGGAGGAACATTCTGTTACTTTATCTTTCTTTTCTAAGAGGTAGTTTATTGACTTCAACATTATACCAAATTTCAAATACATAGGCAAACAGTTCTGTGGCTATTGAAGTGAAATTTGCATATCCAGGAGAAAAGGGACAATCTTAATGGGAAAACGGGTGGGATATTCTGGGCACAAAAAGCTGGGCAGTATACCGAGGAAGTGACTTTTAGAATAACTTGATTTGCCATGTGAGGTCCCTAAATACAGTCATCCTCATATTTGGTGGATCTCATATTTATGAATTTGCTTACTTAAATTTATTCATAACCCCCAAATCAACACTTCTTGGACTTTTCATGGATATGTGCAGAGCCATGAAGAATTTGAATGTCTGGAAGCACACATGGTTCTCTACCTTCTTGCTTTGGCTCTCACACTGTAAACAAGCATCCTTTTCATGGTCTTTTTAGTGCCATAGTCTTACATTTTTGGGCTTTTTGGTGATTTAACTGTTTAATGTGACCCTCAAGCATAATGCTGAAATAAAGTTATTATATAGTGTTCTTATGTGCAAAAAGGCTATGATGTGCTGTATAGGGGAAATAAATGTATTAGATAACCTTTGTTCAGCCATGAGATATAGTACTGTCGACTGTGAGTTTAATATTAATAAATCAATAGCACATATTAAATAAGGTCTCTTTAGACAGAAACTTACTTAAGACAAGATTTTATTGAAAATGTTGAGTTAGAGGCTTGCAGGAAGCTAGCCCTGTATCTCCCCTAGGAACAATGGTTCAGTATTCCGTAATTCAGTTTGTGGTGACTACAGAACATAACTACCACAAATAATAAAAATTGACTATAACTTATTAGTGACTGGATTAGTTAGAATATAAGTTTACTAATGTAACAAAAGCCAACATAACAAGTGTTTAAACGAGGTAGAAGTTAATTTCTTCTCATATATCAGTACAGTCTGGGGCTGATAGTGTGACACCAGTGTCAGGGACCAAGTTTTCTAGTTTGTTTTTCCATGTTCAGCAATGTGGTTTCTATCCCATAGTGTAAGATGACTACTCTAGTCTCTATCAGCACATCTGCATTTTAGACATCCAGAAGGGGAGCTGAGGAAGTAAAGAACATGTTCTGCCCTTTTAAGAAGATGGATACCAATTTGGCTCTGGATAGTGTTGGCCTGTGGACTGAAGGGTCCCAAATTCGATTCTGGTCAAGGGCACATGCCTGAGTTGTGGACTCAATCCCCAATAGGGGGGCGTGCAAGAGGCAGATGATCAATGATTCTCTCTCATTATTGATGTTTCTATCTCTTTCTCTCCCTCTCATTTCTCTGAAATCAATAAAAAATATATTTTTAGAAAAGAAGATGTACATAGTATTTTTCCTTACATACAATTAGTTACATGGTTACTTTTCTCAATTTCAATGGAAGCTGGGGAATATAAAATCTTTAGCTGACTGGCCATGTACCCAACTGACCCTTAGGGGTTTTATTTTATTTTTAAAATTATTATTATTATTTTAACCCTCACCTGAGAATGTTTTTCCCATTGCTTTTAAATAGAGTGGAAGGACGCGGGGAGGAAGGGAGAGAGGGAGAGGGAGAAAGATAGAGAAAGAAAAACATTGATGTTAGAGGGAAACATTGATGGGTTGCCTCCTGCATGGACCCCAACTGGGGCTGGGGATTGAGCCTGCAATCGAGGTACATGCCCATGATGGGAAATGGAACCCTAGACCCTTGGGTGCATAGGCTGAAGCTCTAATCACTGAGAAAACCATCCAAGGCCATTAAAAAAATATATATTTTTATTGATTTCCAAGAGGAAGGGAGAGAGAGATAGAAACATCAATGATGAGAATCATTGATTGGCTGTCTCCTGCCCATTCCCTAGTAGGGATTGAGCCTGAAACCCGAGCATATGTCCTTGACTGGACTTGAACCTGGGACCCTTCAGTCCATAGGCTAAGGCTTTATCCACTGAGCCAAACCAACTAGGGCCAGAGCCATTTTTTTTAAGTTAAAAAAAATTATTTTTCAATTACCATTGACATCCAATATTATTTATATTAGTTTCACGTGTACAGCATAGTGGTTAGACAATTACATAATTTTCAAAGTGATCAAAAATATATGTCTTGCTTCTAAGCTAATGGAAGGAGGGCAAAGAGCTTTTTTTCTGTGTTTTCTACTTTCCAATTACCTTCAGGTCAAATTTTAATTCTTAATATGAAGAAAGTGTCATATTTTAGTGTGGCTTATATAGTCTGATCCCCTACAATCTAAAGTTCAGAAAATAAAACATTAGCAATAATTTTTTGACCATGACAGTCACTATCTATTATTTTCTTTAAAACAAATAAGCCAATTAAGTTCTTTTTAGTCAGTATCTTATGGAAATGTGTTGAGATTTTGCAAACGTATGATTTTCTTGGTTATAGGTGAGAGTATCTTAATTTGTAAGAACTCTGAGAAATCAAAAGGCATAGCTTTACTTCAGGGATCTCTAAAACCTGTTCGGAGCTGTCTGCGAAGAAGAGAAGGAGAAGAAGTTACTCCGAGCATGATAAGAGCTATTCTGGAGGTAAGACTGTTAGCTAAATTACCACTTGCTCTTTTGTACCTATACTTCAATGGAGAACTTTATATGTGAAAAATCTTAGCTTGTCTTTCTGTATGAGGTTATTTATAGCCTTTCCAAGTCTGAATCTCTTCTATTTTATAAAGTTACTAGAGGCCCGGTGCACAGATTCGTGCACCGGTGGGGTCCCTCAGCGTGGCCTGCAGGGATTGGGCCAAAACCAGCAGTCCAACATCCCCTGAGGGATATAGTAGTGTGCGCAGTGGCAGGTGGCCAGGGAGGAGCTGGAGCCCAAGCCCAGGCCAGGCGCCACATTTCTCCTGCTCATCCTGGCCCCACTGTGCCTGTCGCTGCTGCTGCTCAGTAGGCTCACTTATCCATTGAGCCAAACCTGCAAGACTTCATCTTTTTCTACACCTATTCCCAACCCTTCTTCTGGTTAGGAAGTATTCAATACTAGCATTTCTCTATGCCCACATACTTCAGAAAGAAGAATGAGAAGAATTGTTTTGATTGTTGGCCATGAGCCATCACAACATCCTTTATATATGTTGTTAGTTTCCACATTTCAGATAGATAATGATTCACTTATTTTCATTGATGAGAAAATGTGTCTACTTTTCTGGAAAAGTTTTCATGTTGTCATTAGATGTTGTCTACATTTATAATGAATGATGATGGAGGAGTTAGTAAAAAGTCTCTACATTAAGATGCTGATAACATTTTAAGAGAACAAAGATAACTTCATTTATTTTTTATCATGAGGGCCTGCATATCTTATTAAAAAATTACAGAAAATTTCAAACCTCTTGTATCAGATAATAGTTGGTGGAGTGGCAAGTACATCACAAGATATGCAGACTTATGCTTCTTGCACATTTTTGGCTGCAAGTATGAGAGAAGGGAAGCGGGGAATTCAGAAAAATCAAGATCCTGTTCAACTTGGAGCAATTGAGTCCTGTGTAATGTGGCTGCTAGAAAATGAATTCATCCAGACTACTGAAGCTAGTGATGGAACAGAAGGTAACTATGACTTCTTAGTTTCAGTTTACTCACTTTTTCATCTTTAGTGAATTAGATGTGTGTGACTGATTAATAAAAGGAAAGTAATTTTTCAAGGAGTGTATCAACTCATTTTTAGTAAGTCAGTGTTGTGTTCCACAACATCAGACTATTCGAATAGAGCCCGCTCATAAAGAATCCTTGCATTGGGCAAGATTCTGTTTGTAAAATTTATCAGAGCCTAAAAGGTTAATTACAGAATATAAAAAGACTGTGTTGTTTTATTTTCAACATCTGATCTTTTATTTTCCCCACCCCCAAACTAGGAAAAGTGTATCATCCAACACATCTTGGGTCGGCAACTCTTTCTTCCTCGCTTTCTCCAGCTGATACTTTAGATATTTTTGCTGATCTCCAAAGAGCAATGAAGGGTTTTGTTTTAGAGAATGATCTGCATATTGTCTACCTGGTAAGTTCTGTTTCCTTTACTTTCATATTGGTGAAAATGGGGAGAAAAAAAATATGTAGCATCTTGAACATCGAAGATACCCTAAGAAAACATCTTGTATTGATAAGAAAGCAATGGTAAATTCTAATGAACAGAATCAACATTCAAATGAAAAGGCCTTGACCCCAGCTCAAACTACTGGCAAATTAATATACATTTATGTCTAAGTTAAATGAAAAATTTATAGTTTGCATGTACTATTTGAATATTTAAGACTCTAATGTGATTCAAAAGTTAGAACTATTGTCCAAAGGACTACTCAGTGAAGTCTGATATCCATATATACCCCCTGCATGCCATTTCCATCCCCCTTCTTATATAACTAGAGGCCCTGTGCATGAAATTCATGCATGGGTGCGGTCCCTAGGCCTGGCCGGTGATCGAAGCATGAGCGTCTGGCATGGAAGGGCAGGTCCCAGCTAACCTCTGGGCTGTGGGCAGCATCTGGGTCCCCTGACCCTCATGCGCCCTCCTCCACTTGAGTCACAGCGCCTGAGTCCCCACATGGAGATGCGGTGAGCGTGGCCAGATGCCGTGGGCTGGGGTGCAGCGTGGGCAGAAACCGGGCGGGCAGAGTGCTCCTATGTGAACCCACGGGCAGCCTGACTGGCCCCTGCAGTCTCAGCGGCTGCAGCCCGGCTCACCCAGAAGAGGCCACGCAGGCGCAGGGCAGGCTCCTCATGGGCACCAGGCACCTGAGTGTGGGGGGCTTCCTGGCGTGCAAGCCCTGGCATCCTGGGGGAGGGTAGCGGGAGTGAGAGTGAGCTCAGAAGACACCCCATATTCTCACCACACCTTTGTCCCCGTCACCCTTGGCTCCAGGTCGCAATGCATTGCTGACACCCACCATGTTCTGCACCAACCCCTGGTGGTCAGTGCACATCATAGCGAGCAGTCAAATTTCCAGTCTCCCTGTCGAACTCCTAGTTGAATGACCACCCAAGTGGACAATTTGCATATTAGGCTTTTATTATATAGGATTAGAGGCCAGTGCATGAATTCATGCACGGGTGGGGTTTGGCCTGCCCCAATGGGGGCTGATAGGAGGCCAGGCCAGCAGAGAGAGGGGATGTGGGAGGTGGGGTGGCCAGCCCTGCCCATGATCGAGTGGGGGGGCTGATTGGGGGTTCGGCCAGCTGGGAGGAGGGGCGCGGACCCCACCCCCGATTGGGGTGGGGGTGCTGATTGGGGCCCCAATAAGGCCTGTTGGCTGCCGCAGTGCACGTCATAGCAACCAGTTGTTCTGGTCATTCTGTTGTTCCAGTTGCTTGTCTTATATAGACTAGAGGCTTGATGCACGAAAATTCATGCAAGAGTAGGCCTTCCTTCCCTCGGCTGCCAACACCGGCTTCCCTCTGGCACCCGGGACTCAGGGTTTGCTCTGGTTGCCACTGCCAGGCAACCAGACCCGGGCTACTTCCCTCTGGCCACCGCTGCCAGGCACCTGGGACCTGGGCTTCTTCTCTCTGGCTGATGCCACCAGGCACCCGGGATCCGGGCTTTGCTCCAGCCCAGCTTTGTCCAGAAGGACGTCTGGAATGACGCCCAGAAGGACATTCAGTCTAATTAGCATTTTACCCTTTTATTATTTTAGACGAGGGGCCTGGTGCACAAAGATTCGTGCACTGGGGGTGGGTCCCTCAGCCCAACCTGCACCCTCTCCAGTCTGGGAGCCCTCAGGGGAGCCCTATCCAATCTGGGAGTTTCTGTCTGTCTTTGCAATCATATGAGCGAATTGTCTGAGACCCCAACCCAGTTTGGTTTGTTGCTCACAGAATAATAGAGGCATTTTTTTTCTTTGCTTCATTGGTGGACATTTCCTGGAAGTTTTAGGATATCTTACCTTTAATTTTTCCTAGACACTCTGATATTACTTATGTCTCTCACCTTTGCTTTCCCTCCACCCCCACTGCAACAGTAACTTGCTCCAGGCTCACTTTGCTCTAGTGTCTAGGACAGGGGTCCTCCCCAGCATTTCTGGTGCTTCCCTTGCTCTGGGCTTCCACTTTAGGCCCTGGGGCTGCCACCAGAACTATTCCCAGAATTCTTGGTGCTCCCTGTGCTCTTGGTTTTCCCTTCCTGCTCTGTCTCCATCCCACGGCCTCCTACTCTGTCAAGTCCTCCAAGCTGCCAGCTCTCCCTCTCTGCTTTCCATCTGGCAGCTTGGGAGGCATGGCTCCCTTGGTTGCTCCCAGTGACCGAGGGAGCCTCGTCCCCCCAAGCTGCTGGCTCTCCCGTTCTGCTCTCTGCCTGGTGCCTGTGTATGCAAATTAACCCGTCATCTTTGTTGGGTTAATTTGCACACTCACTCCTGATAGGCTGGTGAATGTAGTGGAGGGATGGTCAATTTACATGTTTCTCTTTTATTATATAGGATGAGGTATTATAACATCTATAGTTTTTATCTTCAAACTAGAGGCCCACTACATGAAATTCATGCATGGGGTGTCCCCTCAGCCCAGCCTGCACTCTCTCCAATCTGGGACCCCTTGGGGATGTCCGACTGTGAATTTAGGCTGAACTGGCAGTCGGACATCCCTCTCACAATCCGGGACTGCTGGCTCCTAACTGCTCACCTATCTGCCTGACTGATTACCCCCAACTGCCCCCCCTTGCTGGCCTGGTCACCCCCAACTACCCCCCTCTGCCGGCCTGGTTGCCCCTAACTGCCCCCCTCCTGCCAGCTTTGTCACTCCTTACTTCCCCCCCGCCGGCCTGGTCACCCCAACTGCCCCCCTGCTGGCCTGGTTACCCCACGCAGCCTGCTGTTCAGTTGTTTGGTCATCCCTCACTAGCCCCCTTGCTAGCCTTGTTGCCCGACACAACCTGCCACCCTGCTGTTCGGTTGTTACTGTTACTGTGATGGCATCCTGGACAATTTGCATATTCCTCTATTATTAGTATACTCTTTTGATTTTAATATGACATTTATATGTACTTGTTCTTTTTGTAATCAATAGTTTTAGCTAATGATGATGCTTCTTTCCTTCAGGTTACACCTATGTTTGAGGATTGGACTACTATTGATTGGTATCGATTTCTCTGTTTATGGGAGAAGTTGCCAACTTCTATGAAACGGGTGGCAGAGCTAGTGGGAGTTGAAGAAGGGTTCTTGGCTCGCTGTGTGAAGGGAAAAGTAGTAGCCAGAACTGAGAGACAACACCGGCAAATGGCCATCCATAAAAGGTAAGTAAGTATCAAGGAGCCTGCACTTCCTAGTATTTAATACAGTATTAAATATGCAGTAGATATTCAGTTTATTGTAGTCACTTTCATTGTCATTAAAATCAAATTTTTGGCTCCATATAGTAAATTTTTTTAATTTACTGTACTAGTATGCACTGAACTTATTACTATATTAGTTTCTCCCTTGCTATTTGTAGTTTAGAAGCCATTATATATGAATACTTCTTATAGTAGAACATTTAATTAATTCCTCCTCTTAAAGAAAATGTGAATCAGGATGCTTTAGGGGAGGATGCTCCTGACAGCCATGGAAGTGATTCATTACTACTACAGAAGAGCCAATAAAATATTCAGCTGAAAAAAAATAAAAGGTTCAGCTGGGAAATTTTATAGGCTTTTAGCTTTTTTGAAATATACTACAATTATCTTTTTTTTAGGGCATTAGACTCTAGCATATTATTTACAACATAGTGAAGTGTAAGTTTTGTAAGGATTCATATACCTAGATAATTTATGTATATTGCCTTTCAAATAAAAACTGTTTTTTTATACTCAAATTCTGTCATTTTATTGAAATATGGTTATATAACCATATAACTGTGTATCAAATGTTGTTTTAAATTTTTGTGCCATTACATTTCTTGAAACAAGTCTTATTTTTTGAAATTAGTTAGCAGTATTGAAACATAGACGAAATCTTTTTGTTGTGCAGATATTAAATTCTATGCTATAATACTAATATATTTCAGAACTTACTTTACAAACATTGAGTTCAGTCTTCGCCCGCTAATCCTATATTTTATTAGGAATCTTCTCTCTTGCCTTTTTGGTTCTTACTTACTTATACCTTTATAGTAGATAAAAGTGATCTCTTATCATATTTTGGTGATTTACTTTCCAGGTTTTTTACCAGTCTCGTGTTATTAGATTTAATCAGTGAAGTTCCCTTAAAAGAAATTAATCGGAAATACGGATGCAATCGTGGGCAGGTTCAATCTTTACAACAGTCAGCTGCTGTTTATGCAGGTCAGTTAAACAAGGACTTCTGTATTTATTTAAGACTGTGGTTTGAGGTTAAATTAAGATTACTTCTCTCTCCCCCCTCCCTCAATTCCGTTTTACTATTGGCTTCTCTAAAATTGAGGGGATTGTGTTAAGCCATAATTTTGTATAATCCCTAACATCATCAGGACACCTTTGTTTTCTGTTATTTTATTTTTTATTTTTCCTGTGTCTGCAAGAAACAGACACATTTTCAGTGATCTCCCTTTTCTAAGTTAGTTACTGATTAATACTTGCCATTGAGGAGGATGGCAAATGGAAAGGGATTTCTGCACTTCAGACTATTCTAAATTATTATTTCTTGTCTAAGGAAATGGGAGTCTTATTTAATAAAATTAAACCCATATTCTATAAGCTAATCAAACAGGAAAGTTAGGGATCTGATTTTACCAAGTCATTCGGAAGGAAACCCTGGGCTGCTGGAGAGTGTGCATATTGTGAAGGTATGTGCATATATGAAAGAATACTGAGGGAAAGATGGGTTTGGGAGGTAGTAAGGAAGGAGAAACTCACCCTTCGATTCACTGGCATCAAATGTCTCAGGGTGCCTCTATGGGTTAGTGTTCTCATAGGGAAGTGATTTTTTTTAATGACTTGGCACTTGGCTGCTCTAACCTCTTTATTTCAAGACTGTTCAGCCGTGGGTAAACTACGGCCCGCGGGCCGAATCCGGCCCGTTTGAAATGAATAAAACTATTGAAAAAGAAGACCGTACCCTTTTATGTAATGATGTTTACTTTGAATTTATATTAGTTCACACAAACACTCCATCCATGCTTTTGTTCCGGCCCTCCGGTCCAGTTTAAGAACCCATTGTGGCCCTCGAGTCAAAAAGTTTGCCCACCCCTGGTAGCTATTAAATTGGGCAACCTTTCTTTGAAGAAAATATCAATGGGAGATTCACTTTTTAAACTGCAAACAGCCCTTGAATATTTAAATCAGCTTTCTTATTTCCTCTAGGTGGAAAGAGTCCCTTACCTATTTTTAAGGGTTCTCTCTTCCTTAAAAAAAGAAAGGAATAAAGAGAGGAATGAACTAGGGTGAGGGCTTTTTGTTTTGTGGTTATGTGCTCTGCCTTAGTTTTTTCAAATGTCAAGGACATGATTAAGAATAAATGAGATGCAGCCACTATGGAAACAGTATGGAGTTTCCTCAAAAAATTAAAAATGGAACACCCATTTGACCCAGTAGTCCCTCTTCTAGGAATATATGCCAAAAAATCAGAAACACCAATCAGAAAGAATATATGCACCCCTATGTTCATAGCAGCACAATTTACAATAGCTAAGATTTGGAAACAGCCTAAGTGCCCATCAGCAAATGAGTGGATTAAAAAACTGTGGTACATCTACACAATGGAATACTATGCTGCTGTAAAAACAACAACAACAACAAAAAAACTCTTACTGTTCACAACAGCATGGATGGACATGGAGAGCATTATGCTAAGCAAAATAAACCAGTCAGAGAAAGATAAATATCACATGATTTCACTCATTTGTGGAATATAATGAACAACATAAACTGATGAACAAAAATAGATCCAGACAGAGAAGCATCAAACAGACCATCAAACCTCAAAGGGAAGGCAGGGTAGATTGGCGCGTGGCGGGTAGGAGATCAACCAAAGGACTTGTATGCATGCCTATAAGCCTAACCAATGGACACGGACACTAGGGCAGTAGGGGCATTTCCTGGGGGGTGGGAGTGGCTGGGGAGGGGTCGATGTGGGGAAAGGAGACCTATGTAATACTTTAAACAATAAAGAATAAAATAAATAAATAAAATAAAAAGGATAAATGAGCCTGCCCTGGCCGGTGTGGCTCAGTTGATTGAAGTATCATCCCACACACCGATAGGTGGTGGGCTCAATTCCTGGTCAGGGCACACACCTGGATTGTGGGTTTGATCCCCAGTCCAGTCTGGGTACTTTTGGAAGGCAACCAATCAATGTTTCTTTCTCTCTCTCTCCCCTTCTCTCTGAAATCAGTTTTTTAAAAAAGAATAAGTAAGATGACATTGAATCTGTTTAGCATATTTGTTGGCTAATTAGCTAGGCCCTTAACATGTATCACCTCTCCTGTTAACTTACACCATGGGCCTGTTAAACTTTACAATTACCCAGGAAAAAAGGAAACAGTGAAACAAAAGTACATCTAAAGAAATAGAGAATTGATCTATAAAGAATTTTTAATTTAATAAATATTCTATGCATATTCTAGGCATGATTACAGTGTTTTCCAACCGCCTGGGCTGGCACAACATGGAACTACTACTTTCCCAATTTCAGAAGCGTCTTACGTTTGGAATCCAGAGGGAACTGTGTGATCTTATCCGGGTGTCCTTACTTAATGCTCAGCGAGCCAGATTCCTCTATGCTTCCGGCTTTCTTACTGTGGCAGATCTGGCCAGAGCAAATATTCCTGAGGTGGAGACTGTTCTGAGAAATGCTGTGCCTTTTAAAAGGTAAGAGATTCCCCCTGTCTTTAGAGAGTTATTAAATAAAAAGTCATGTCAATTTATAAATAATAGTTTCTGTATTAAAATATTTTTCTCTTTGATACTATCATGACATAGTTGGTATAAATGGAAGGAAACATGGCTACTTTTCCCCCCTTTAGGGTTACTTTTTATTTTTTATACTTTTAAAATATTTCATGACTTAAAAGACATTTCTAAAAGTATCCTAATTCTCCCCTAGAAAAATTGAGTAAAGGTAAGGTATCAATGCTTAGTGCAGCGGTTCTCAACCTGTGGGTCACGACCCCTTTGGGGGTCGAACGACCCTTTCACAGGGGTCGCCTAAGACCATTGGAAAACACATATATAATTTCATATTGTTTTTGTGATTAATCACTATGGTTTAATTATGTTCAATTTGTAACAATGAAAATACATCCTGCATATCAGATATTTACATTACGATTCATAACAGTAGCAAAATTATAGTTATGAAGTAGCAATGAAAATAATTTTATGGTTGGGGGTCACCACAACATGAGGAACTGTATTAAAGGGTCGTGGCATTAGGAAGGTTGAGAACCACTGGCTTAGTGCTTTGATGGATTTAGATTTTCAATATATATTTAGGGCTCACATTAGACTTTCTTTAGGCAAGAGCACTTTAAAATGTACTTCTCTTGCCCAGCCATGTGGTTCATTCGTTGAGCGTCAACCTATGAACCAAGGAGGTTACCAGGTTGTCGGCTCAATCGCCAGTAGAGGGCGTGCAGGAGTCAGCCGATCAATGATTCTCATCATTAATGTTTTTATCTATCCCTTTTCCTTCCTCTCTGAGATCAATAAAAATATATACATATTTTTAAAAAATGTGCTCCTCCTGAATGTTCTTTGGAACACTAGTCCCTCAAAATAATTGTGAGAGTAGGATTCCTTGATTATTGTGTACATGTGGGCAACCAAGTTATTGATGGCCTCAGTATACACTGAGTGGCCAGATTATTATGACCACCCCATCAGTACTTCATTGACACTTCCAAAAATACTGAATATTGAAAACTTCCTAAGCAAATACTCTCAAGGTTTTATTATTATTATTTGCATAATTAATTTACTTCATTGTACTGATGGGGTGGTCATAATAATCTGGTCAGTGTATATATAATCAAGGAATAGCTTAAGTAATTTCTCAACCACTGTTCTTTGAACTTACTCTTATATAAAACCCCGACCAGATCCTATTGACATTTAGGCACTTATAGGTTTAAGAGTTTTATTTTCAGCTATTAAGAATTTGTTCAAAATTTATAAAAGCATCAGTCTCATTTCCAGTTTAGTATTTCTTTCCTTACACTCCATTTAGGCCTGATACAGGCTCTGAAACTTGTAATATGCATGAGAAGAGATGGGCATATTTAGAGGAGCAGCCTTGCTGCCCGCTGTGCCACCTCACATTGTGACTCTGCTCTCTGCCTTCCACTGCCACCCCCAGGTATGGCTCCTGTGGGACTAGGTGCCCCATGCACTGCACCCAGCATGGCTATGGGGGCATAGCTACCTCTACCTAGATTTCGAAGGATGGAATAGTCTGGAGTTTTAGAACATAACCCTGGGAGGAACACAACCCAGGCCACTGTAGAGTCCCCACTAGGGCAGTACTCAGTGGAACTGTGGGACTGGGGCCACTCCTCTGACCCCAGACTAGAAGAGCAACTGATGTGTGATTTTGTCACTTTGGGGTGTATCTCTGGCCAAAGTCTATTTGGAGTATGGTTTAAAACCTTCTTGTAAAGTGTTGTTCTCCTCTGGAGCCTCTGATTTTTACAGAATCTTTGGATATATACATACTTGTTTAGGAGTATGTACTGTTAGTTCCTGAGGTAAAAAAGCTTAGATGTGGAATGTCTCTGTGGTAACCATATGCCATATATCATACATGACCCTTCCTAGGGGTCATCAGAAGGCAGCACTCATTTAAAAAAATTTAACTGGAAAATATTGTTTAACACATTTTAGAATCATTTCTTTTTTTAAAATTATTTTATTTTTTAATATATTTTTATTGATTTTTGAGAGGAAGGGAGAGGGAGAGAGAGATAGAAACATCGATGAGAGAGAAACATTGATCAGCTGCCTCCTGCATGCCCTTACAGGGGATTGAGCCCGCAACCCAGGCATATGCCCGGACAGGGAATCAAATGATGACTTCCATAGTTAATGGGTCGACGCTCAACCACTAAGCCACACAGGCTGGGCAGAATAATTTCTTATTATCCCAAAGCTGTTATTGTCATGGCTGTGTGTCTCCAAAATTAGTGACACATCAAGATCATGTGCCTTTTCATGTGACACACTGAGAGAGACATTGCTCCTGAAGTGTTCCTTATCAAAAATGTCTAACATGAATTTAATCAAAAGCAAACATCAGACAAGCCTGAATTGAGAGACATTCTACAAAGTTGTTGGCTAGTACTTTTCAAAAATATCAAGGTCATGAAAAAGAAAGACTGAAGAGTTATTTGTAATTAGAGGGTAAAAAAGTCTTGGCACTCTGGCTGGTTTGGCTCAGTGGATAGAGCATTAGCCTGCAAACTGAAGGATCCCGGGTTCGAATCTGGTCAAGGGCATGTACCTTGGTTGTGGGCACATCCCCAGTAGGGGGCGTGCAGGAGGCAGCTGATGGATGTTTCTCTCTCATCGATGTTTCTAACTCTTTATCTCTCTCCATCTCCCTTCCTCTCTGTAAAAAGCAATAAAATACATTTAAAAAAATTGATTATGGTTCTTAACCCTTTATTTGATATGAATATTGCAAGTATTTTCTCAAAATTTATGAGTTGTCTTTTGACTTTTGTAACATCGTTATACCCATACAGAGTTTTATTATATTTCTATTTATTTATTTATTTATATATTTTTATTTTTTAATTCTGAATGTCATAGTTGGAAAGCTTTCTGTACAGTGAGATTAAAGAGGAATTCACACATTTTCTTGTATTTTAAATTTGCATTTAGATTCCTGATACATTTAGAATTTAATTTTGTATGTAATGTGGTCTAGATTTATCTATTTCCCATTTATAAAAAAGTTTGTCTTGGTCCTAGTGATTTGAAATGCCACCTTCATCATATACTAAATGTCCATATGTAATTAGGTCTATTTCTGGATTTTTTAATTTTATTTACTATCTTTTTGTCAATTCATGAACAATACCATGCTCTTTTTTTTTAATCCTCACCCGAGGATATTTTTTCATTGATTTTAGAGAGAGTGAGAGGGAAAGACAGAGAAACATTGATGTGAGAGAAACATTTAAATATATCTTTATAGATTATCTGGTTATATCTTTTTCTTATATTTCTTATGGATTTGGGACTTTCTGCCTCCTGCATGCTCCTGACCAGGCCTGGGAGCCTGCAACAAAGTACATGCCCTTGACCGGAATCAAACCCAGGATGCTCTCCACTGAGCCAAAGTGGCTAGGGCAGCAATACCGTGCTCTTAATGAAAAGCCTTTATAGTATGTTTTAATGTCTGGTAGGGCAACCTCCCTCTCATAGTTTTTCAGTATTTTCCTGTCTACTTTTGCATGTTTGCCCATGTGAAATTTGAAGTGTCTGTTGATATTTTATTGGGGTTCGATTGAAATTTAACTTACAACTGACCCCTTTATAATGTGGAGTCATCCTATCCACAGGTAGGTAATCTCTTTGCATTTGATATTGTTGTGATATTGAGGATTTTAAAAAAGATTTCCACAGACAGCTTTTCAGGAGTTTCCAAATCTTCCTCATAAGGGTACATTTCTTGTTAAATTTATTTTCATTTAATCTTTATTGTTTTAATTGGTTTGTGTCTATGATCTCTTCTATATGGTTATTATTTGAGTATATCGAGGCTGTTGATTCTTGTATATTGTTATCCTGTTATTTTTAAAATTCTTTTATTGTTTGAGTTATTTCTATCATTGATTCTCTAGGATTTTTAGATATACAGTCATATCATCTACAAATGGAGATATTTTACTTCTTCCTTAACAATTTTTATACTTCTAATTGACTTCTGTTGTCTAATTGAATCAAAACTCCAGGTTTTTATCCAGGTTACCTTCATGGCCCTGACTGAAGCCTGCCTGCAGGTGAAAAGTGTGACAGTTTAACCACTGCCATTTGTTTCTTCTAGTCTCAACTCTTTTCTGGTTTCTACTTTCTTTTGGTCACTCCACAGTCCCTTTAACATTTTGTCCAGAGTTCGTATTCTGTAGAGGATTTGTTTTCAATGCAAGTTTTATGATGCTCACTTTTTTAGTTTTTTATTTAAAGAATCTGTCTTAGGCCTTCCCTGATGATGCTATTTAAAAATTGCAGTATCACCCATCCCACCCTGGTGTTTCATTTTTGTACACAACTCTTATCATCAGTTGACATAGTCTATATTTTAACATTTGTTCGTTTTCTGATTTCCCCAACTAGAATGTGAGCTCTATGAGAGCAAATATATTTCCCTGTTGTTCAGTGCTATTTCTTTAAAAAAAAAATTTTTTTTTTTATTGATTACAGAGAGCAAGGGAGATAGAGAGAGAGCTAGAAACATTAATGATGAGAGAGAATTACTGACCAGCTGCTTCTGCACGCCTCCTACTGGGGATTGAGCCCACAACTTGGGCATGTGCCCTGACTGGGAATTGAACTGTGACCTTGTGGTTCATAACTTGACACTCAACTACTGAGTCACACCAGCTGGGCAGTGCCGTTTCTTCCATTCGTAGGACAGCTGATGCTTAATAAATATTTGTTGTATGAATGAATCAATGCATTAATTTATTTCTCTTCCTATCCCCTTCCTAGTGCCCGAAAGGCAGTGGATGAGGAAGAGGAAGCTGTTGAAGAACGTCGGAATATGCGAACTATTTGGGTGACTGGTAAAAAAGGCTTAACTGAAAGGGAAGCAGCAGCCCTTATCGTGGAAGAAGCCAAAATGATCCTACAGCAGGACTTAATTGAAATGGGAGTGCAATGGAATCCACATTCCCCTTTAAATTCTGATACATACTCATTGACCAGCAGTGAGTCAGAAGAAAAGGAGCATAAATTTATACTCCAAACTAAGAGGTCTTATGAAAGATTAACATCAAAGAAAAAAAGTAACACAGTATTCAATGATTCTTCTGTTAAGGAATCACCAAATACAGTGAAAGATTTAGATAAAGGTAGAGAGCATAAAAATTCCTTTTATTATCAGTTTCAGGATGGAAAACAAGAATGTCGGGTACATTCAATTTCCAGAGGAAGAAAACGGGCTTATTTGAATATAAGTAAAGAGAAGCTAGAAACCTCTTTGAATGAGGGAGAAACAAGCACTAAGAAAGTCGTTCAGACTGCCTCATCTGAGAAAACAAAAAAAGAAGCTTTGAATCTTAGTCTAGAAAAGATGAACACAACCTTTCAATCTTGGAAACGTTGTAAGCATCTCAAACGATCCAGAGACAGTAGCCCTGTGAAAGACACTGGGATGTGTAAAATTGATTTTCAAAAACAGCTGAATCTTAATCATTGTGAAGATTCATTTACCTCAGATGAGAAGAATGTGGAATTTAGGAGTCCAGGGCCACTTGCTAAAAATGCATCTTTATGTACTGAGGGAAAACATAACAAAGCATCATTGCCATCACAAACAGAACAAAATTGTTCAAGGAACAAAACAGTAACTAATGATATTCTTATGGAACATTTTATCACAGAATCCAAGAGTAAAAAGGAGACTTGTCGATCCACTAGTGTGGTTAGTGAAAATGGAAGAGGATTAGCTCCTGTTGAGTCAGAAAAAATAGACAAAGTGCTAATACAAAGTGACTCAAAAAACCAAAATATTTGTGTTAAACACCATGATATCAATCCAATTAATCAGTCCTCAGAGAAGCAGTCTGATAAACAGACAAACATTTATACCAAACAGAAAAGAATACTAGAGAAGCAAATAGCTTGTAATCATATGAATAGAGACTCAAATGCTATTATCAAATGTAAAAGTATAAATTTTAATGCAGAGGAAAAGAAATCAAATAATCTTCAGGTATCCGGAGATAATATAAGCAGCACTGAGATACCCAATGGAGTACATCTACCAGCTGGAGCATTTGGTAAATCTGGAGGCCAGCAGGAGAATTTTCCAAATACCTCTAGAATACAAGAAGAAACAGATGCTTATGCAGCAAAAGAAACTAAAAATAATTGTGTTTCTGTCTTAGGATTAGTTCCTTGTGATTTTGAAGATAGTTTCTACCTGGATACTCAGTCAGAGAAAATTATACAACAGATGACAACTGAAAATGCCAAACAAGGAGCAAAGGACACTAACCTGGCAACAGACATAATGCAGAAGAGCCTAAACAAACGGAATTCAAGCTCTATTCAGAATGAGATTCACACTGCCTTCCCTGGTGAGCAACATTCTCCAGGAGTGATAAATATAGACCATTTGGAACCTAACACTGTAGAGACTATAAAACAAAGCGCTGGTTCACATGAGGTTAATATCGTGTCTCCAGAAAGCCCACTTTTTCATTCACCAATATTATTGAAGGAAAATGGCCCTTGTTTGAAAGCGAATGAACTTTCTGTTACTGACTCCCAATTAAATAGTTTTCTTGAAGGTTTTCAAACACAAGAAGCTATGAAACCAGGTATACCTCAAAAGAGAACATCCACTGGTGTAGAAGTAGAATGTCTGCCAGTCCCTGAAACAAGTTTGAATTTGAGTGACAGTTTACTCTTTGACAGTTTCAGTGAAGACTACCTAGTAAAAGAGCAACCCCCTGACGTAAGCGTGAAAGAACCCCTGCCTTCTGAAGTCATGTCAGACCATTTCAGTGATTCTCTGCATCTACAACCAGAGGACCCAATGAAACCAAATATGGATGAGCAACAAGATAATCGGCAGCAGTTGACTTGTTTCAGTGATGAGTCTATTGTATTTTCAGACATGGATTCTGCTCAGATGGTGGAAGCTTTGGACAATGTAGATATATTTCCTGTCCAAGATAAACGTAATGCTGCAGTATCTTTGGGGGCATTAGAACTAAGTGATCCAGTTGGTAATGACTGTCCCCAAAGAGAAGTAACTGAAGGAGATAAAGATGAAAAGTCTCAAAAATCCAAATTAACTGAGACAAGGCAAAATAATTCATTCATATGGTCAGGAGCATCGTTTGATTTAAGTCCAGGACTGCAAAGGATTTTAGATAAAGTATCCAGTCCTCTAGAAAATGAAAAGACAAAACTAACCACTATAAACTCATCTAGTTTAAAAGGAAAAAATACAGAGTTAAATGACAAACAAGAAGTGGTTTTAAATTTGGAGCAGGGAATTTCATTCTTTCCTAATATTGAAGTAAAAAGCAAGATTGAGACACTAGAGAACAATGCTGTTCATGGTGACACCCCATTGCTCTTGCCTTGTAAAGAAATTGGTATAGTTGATGATAATGGACTCATTCCTCCTACACCCATCCCAGCATCTGCTGCTAAGTTGTCATTTCCAGGTATTCTTGGAACATCTTCTGTGAAACTTCAGAAAAATAGTGTTTTAGAACTTGGTGAAAATTATTTACTTGGCTCACCTTCAGATATTAACCATGATTTAAGTCCAGAGAGTAGAAATGATGTAAAAGATGACAGTCCCATTAGAGACACAAGTTTTTCACTGCAGTTATCACAGGATGGATTGCAGTTAACTCCAGCCTCATGCAGTGCAGAAAGCTTGGCCATAATTGATGTAGCAAGTGACCGAACTCTCTTTCAAACATTCATTAAGGAGTGGCAGTGCAAAAAGCGATTTTCCATCTCACTGGCTTGTGAAAAGACCAGTAATTTGACATCTACAAGTGCAACTATTGGTGGTAGGTTTAAGCAAGGTAAGAATTATTTTTTTTCACATTTATATGTAAAATAGGCTGAGATGGGACTGAGATTTTTCAGTATTGGATATTAAATGTAATAAATTTATTCAAAGTTTAATAAGTTTCTCTTATGTGGGTTTATACCTGTGGGCTGTATAAGGCTTGTGAAATCATTTTATCTGGTCCTTCCAAGGCATTAGGGGTCAGTTAATTAAATGTTTGACTGAAAATAGCAGGCTAATTTTTAAAAAAATATATTTTATTAATTTTTTACAGAGAGAAAGGGTGAGGGATGAGAGAAATATCGATGAGAGAAAAACATCAATCAGCTGCCTCCTGCACACCCCCTACTGGGGATGTGCCCACAACCAAGGTGCATACCCTTGACTGGAATTGAACCCAGGACCCTTCAGTCCACAGGCCGACGCTCTATCCACTTAGCCAAACCAGTCAGGGCAGCAGGCTAATTTTTAAGTTGATAATTTTGTATGGCCCTCAAATGATCTTATAAATATCCAAATGGCCTTTGGCACGAAAAAGGTTCCCCATCCCTAGTTTACACATAGAACAGCCTAATTGTTCAGCACAAGAGATGGTTGACCACAGGACACGTGGGTGGGAGAGCTGAATACTGAGACCAAGAGTCCAAGCTGGGAGACTGAAAAAATGTAGGTCACCAAGGCACTTTTCATTCCTCTGCCTCCGATCCACTGTTGTACGTGGATGATAAGGCCTGTGTCTATCTCTTCCAAAGTAGGCCAGAGGTCTAATCTAAACAGCCTTCCCACAGCAGCTCCCAACCCTAGGTCGCCTGTCAGGAATTCCAGATCAGTGTTGTCTCCTGGGACGTTGACCCAGTTGTCAAACTTATTTCTTCAGGGGCCACCGCAACTGGTGTGGCTGGTTCAGGAGCGTGTATTGGAACAATGTTTGGTAGCTTGATCATTGGGGATGCCCATCTCTCAAACATTAGCTCTTCCTTGCTGTCTGGGCAGTGCCCTTTCTGAGGCCATGGTCTCTCTTTCATGGTTGCCTTCCTCATCCTCTTCACTTTGTGAGGCTTCATGGAGGTCCCTGCTACTTCAACTCCAGGCCATGCCTAGTGCTAGTGCATGCTAAGCTTTACCATTAAACACAAAATTTTTCTTTAAAAAATTGCATATATATGTATAATACATAATATACACTGAGTGGCCAGATTATTATGACCACCTGACGTTTGTAGGCAAATTAGCTATAATTTCCCGCTGAAGTTGCTAGAGGGCCAGACCATTATAAATAGGGAAGCAGGTTGTTTACCATGACAGTAGAAGTGATTTTTTTTCCCCCTGAAGATATGGGTAAACAACGTGATTTAACAGCCTTTGAACATGGGATATATGTGAACATGAGTGGCCAGATAATTATGACCACCCCATCAGTATTTCAATGGGCCACCTTTTGCCTTCAGTACTGCGGCGATTCTTCTTGGCATTGACTCCACGAGATGTTGAAAGGTGATGCAAGGAATCTGACACCATGCCTGATGAATAGCACTGTCCAGTTCTGTGAGATTTGATGGTTGTGGAACCAGCTTCCTGATGGTTCTAACTTCGTCCCACAAATGTTCAATTGAATTGAGATCTGGTGATTGTGGGGGCCACCTAAGCAATGTAAAATCTCCCTCATGTTCTTGAAACCACTCCTACACAATACGAGCACCGTGGCATGGCACATTGTCTTGTTGGAAGAAGCCATCTCCATTCGGATACTCCATCAACATGATAGGATGAACTTGATCAGTAACGATACTTAGCTATGTTGTGCTATTCTGACATTGTTCCACAGGAATTAAAGGGTCCAAATCATGCCAGGAAAACATGCCCAAACCATAACACTGCTCCCACCAGCTTGAAGAGTTGTACTCATGCATGTGGGGGCCATGTTTTCAATCTGTTTCTGCCAAATTCTCACTCTGCCATCTGCATGATGCAACTGGAAACGTGATTCATCGGACCACATGACTTTTTTCCAATGCTCGACTGTCCAATCCTTGTGTTCCTGTGTGAATTGGAGACGTTTTATATTGGTAACTGCAGACAACAAAGGTGTTCGAACAGGCCTTTGGCTTCCATATCCCATATGATGCAGTGTACGGCTAATTTGCCTACAAACATCAGGTAGTCATAATAATCTGGCAACTCAGTGTATATTACATGTTATTATATAATATATAGAAATATTAGAATGTAAGAATGTAAAAGTTAAGGTATATATTTTGAATATGGATCACTTTTTTCATAATCGTGTATATAACATGATGGTTTTTATTTATCATCAGTGCTCATGAATTATTTTCTATTAAACTATAATGTTCTTATTCATTTATATAATCACAAAAATACATGGTAGGTAGACACTATATTTTTCACAATGTATATTAGCTACATTTTCCAATACTTATCTCAAGTAGAACCTGTACCTGCATTGATAGTCATGATCCCAAAGCCTCCTGGAACTCTTCCCAGTTTTGAGAGTATTGAACTATATGGTCAAACTAGAGGCCAATGCACAAAATTCGTGCAAGAGTAGGCCTTCCTTTCCCCGGCTACTGGCACTGGCTTCCCTCTGGGACTCAGGACCTGAGATTCCCTTGTGGCCCCGGCTTCATCCGGAAGGTCGTCCAGAAGGATGTCTGGTCTAATTAGCATATTATACTTTTATTATTATAGATAATGCCCTATAGATTCCTGTCTTATTTCATGAAAGCAAGGGTTCTGTATCATAGGGAATAGCTAATTCAGCTTGACAACCTATTGTGGAACTCAAAATTTTTTTATCAGATTTCTTAAATTTATGTATTTATGAATAAATTTGTTCATAAAAGTTTGGTTTGAGCACATTTTCTGTGTTAGAGGTTAAAGGGATAAAAATGTTTACTTAATTTAACATATGCACCAGTTATTTTCCAGGTATTGGGGATATGATTGTCAATAAAATAGATTGGTTTTTGACCTATGTCTTTGTAAAATTGGATATGCATTATTATTATTTTTTTTAATGTTGACTTCAAATATGAAATCAGACCTAATTCTTCACTAGGAAGTAAGACCCTTGATTTTTCTGGAGTTTCTTTTCTTTTCTTTTTAAAATATTTGTATTCATTTCAGAGAGGAAGGGAGAGGGAGAGAGAGATAGAAACATCAATGATGAGAGAGAATCATTGATTGGCTTCCTCCTACACGCTACCTAGAGGGGTCGAGCCTGCAACCGGGCGTGTACCCTTAACGAGAATCATACCCAGGCACCCTTCGATCTGCAGGCCAATGCTCTCTCCACTGAGCCAAACCAGCTAGGGCTCTGGAGTTTCTTAGTGTTAAGAATTGCTGAGTTCACTATAGCATTTGTGTAGTGTGCAAGTAGTCTTTATTTGAATTATAGAAATTCAAAATTCAAGAGCTTTTAAAAAATTTAGTTAATACTTTTAGTCATTATTATAGATCTATTTTAAGAAATCTTTGGTAGATTTTTCTTAGTGACAGTTATCTTAATAATAACTTAAACTAACAACTTGATAGTAAGCCTACAAAGATTTTACATATACCTAAAATGACTATCCAAAGAATGCTTTAGGAATCTGGAAATTTTGCCTGTCTAATATTTATTTTTATTATCAGTGTTTTAATGTTCAGTTTAGTGTTTTTATTTTTAGAGGTTTTTAACTGTTTCATTTTTTATTTACTTAGTTAGCTCCCCTCAGGAAACTTCTATTAGAGATGGATTTCCTGTTAAAGGTTGTGATGACATCTTGGTGGTTGGACTGGCAGTATGCTGGGGTGGAAAAGATGCCTATTATATTTCCTTGCAGAAGGAACAAAAGCATTCTGGTAAGTAATCACTAGTTGGCAAAGTTACCATATAATTTTAATGTAGCCTCTATCAGGTAGTGACTTGTTTGTTGAGAATAATTTCCTGATACTTACCTAGAATTTACTTTTAGGATTAAAAAAATTTTTTTGGATAGTGGCTAGTGTGTACATGATTTCATATATTAGTTAGAATGAATGTTTTAAGAAATCCTCCCCTCTGCTTGTCACATGGGACTATTTAATACTGTGTTTTCTTGGGGGTAGTGGAGCATCAGGAACTCCCTCGACACCTTAGGGTTTGCTTTTGATGATTGGATCATGGAATTTCTTTTCAGACTTCTTTCAGCCTTTTGACTGGGTCTGGAGCTCATCTAGAGGCAGTGATGAACAAGACATCTACAGTAATTCTCGCACAGCCTTAGAGAAGTCTTTGGAATTGAAAAGATGTGTTCTGGATTATGGTTGTGATTATCATTGCTGGATTGGTTCTAGACAGGAGCAAAATTAATGAGGGAATATTTTAAAGGATGCCATATAATGTTTGTTCCTGAGTAAGCATGAAATATATTCAGTTTGTTTTGCAGGAAAATATGTTAGGATGAGTAGTTACTAAAGCTACAATTAAAAAAAATAATCTTGATATTTAGAATTTTCTCCCACCAGATAAATAGAGCATTATAAATCACCTAGTCTAAACCATAATTTTTATTTATTTATTTATTTAAATCCCCACCCAAGGACATGCTAGAGAGAAGAAAGGAGGGAGGGAGGGAGGGAGGGAAAATAGAGGGGAGGGAGAGAGAGAGACAAAGGAAGAGAGAAAGAGAGAGAGAGAGAAAGAGAAACATCTCGATGTGATAGAGAAACATCTATGGGTAGGCTTCCACTCTCACGCTCTCACCTGGACCAGTTATCAAACCCGCAATCCTGACTGGGAATCAAACTGGCAACCCTTCAGTGCACAGGACAACGCCCAACCAACTGAGCCACTCTGGCCAGGCTATACCGTAATTTTTTAGATTATGAAGCACTTTATCTACAGAGCCAACATGGCCTTTATAAGGTCATGCTGAATTATTGGTTACATGGAACTAGATTTTGAGTCTTTTTCAGCCTTTGCATTATAGATTGCAGTTTCATGTGAATGTATGTGGTTTTTGCCTTAACACTTTTTTTTTTCTTTTAAGAAATTAGTGCCAGTTTGGCCCCACCTCCTCTGGATCCAAACCTGACTGTGAAAGACAGAATGTGGCACCTTAAATCCTGCTTTCCAAGGGAATCAGATAAAGAACGTTCTGTTATCATCTATGACTTCATCCAGACCTATAAAATTCTTCTTTTGTCTTGTGGCATCTCCCTGGAGCAAAGTTATGAAGATCCTAAGGTTCCATGTCTTATTTAATTTTTACATCCTTAAATTTTTTTTTAATGTTTAGTGTTAATTTTTAAATGACTTGGTGTTTATTTACCTCTAACTGTGCACTTCAGTTTTATAGAGTTGTCACTCTTTTATCCAGTAACCTCATTCACCTAGAACAGAATATTATGTATCAAATGCCTTAGTGTAGATAAAAACAGAGATGTCACAAATTCCAAGCACCAAAGTTCATATCTTTCCTCAATGATACGTTAAAATTTTATTTTGGTAGTATGTTCTAAGTTTTCTGTCTTATTGTAAATTAGAAATTAAAGGAGAACTGTCAGATTTTAGATGTATGATAGCAAATGTTTCAAATACCCATGAGGATAGAGGCAGGAAATAGAAGTGTGTAAGATATCCACAGGGAGAGTAGTTAGGGGCCACTGAGTGTAGGGACAAATCACCTTACTTGTCCCTTGAGAACTTTCCTACATAATAGCAACGTATGGTACACTCTTCATAGTGATGACTGAGTTTTTAAGAAAAGGGTAACTTATGTTATTGTAATAAACACATCACTATGATGCATTTTTAGAAGGCATTTATTTACAATATCATAGCCCTCAAAGGGGTATCTTTTCCCACAGTGGGTAGCAAATACCTGAGGCTTGTGGAATATTAATTTTGAGTTGAGATATGATACTGCAGCATGTCCTCAAATAACAGCTATAATTCAACATTGCAGGAACTTACTTGTGGTTTATATTGATTAGCCTGTGGTAAAATTGTTGTTGTTTTTAATGTGTTGTTTCGCTTAAAGTTGCAGAACCTATGAACAATGTTAAGTGAGGACTTACTGTGCTTGGTTGTAATTATCAATATAATTAATAATACAATAATTTTTAGTTTCTTAAGCTTTTTTGGTAAAGGCAGTATTAGACAATCTAAAGGTATTATCCTTTTCTATACTTCAAGCCAGGCTTGGTTTACATGTGATTAATACCATGTAGTTTCTTTTCTTTTCCTATTGAATTTATTGGGGTGACATTGGTGAATAAAATTATATAGATTTCAGGTGTACAATTCTATTTGACATCATCTGCATATTGTATTGTGTATTCATCACCCTAAGTCAAGTCTCCTTTTGTTACCATTTACCCCTGCCCCCTTTACTGTTTTCCACCTCCCTCCATCCCTCTTCTTCCAAATGCCATGTAGTTTCTAAACTGACTTGTACTGGATATAAAAGGTTGTCACATAATTCTGATGTTCCAGAATCCAAAATGAGAATATGGGTAATATGAGCTTATTAAAACTACAGTAGCATCACAGATTTATGTAGCACCTTTTGCATAAACTACTTGATATAATTGGTTTTGTAGATCAAAACACTTTTTATGTAAGAATATAAACTATTAATTTATAAAAATCTCACTTTTATAAGAAACATTTGCAAATTTTTACAATAGATTATCTTATTCAGTACCTCCTAAAAGGTTTCTGATCACCATACCTCTAACAATTCTTTGGATACCAGCTGAGTGTCCAGTTCCACTCAATTCTGACACTAGTGTCAGATCATCTGTCCCACAAAATGCCCTGCCACTCCTTCAGACTCCAGCCATAGTCCCAGGTTGTTTACCTGTGCTTCTGACCAACCATCTATAAATCAGAGGTTCTCACTACTCCCTCCTTTGGTTTAATTAATTTGCTAGAGCAGCTCACAGAACTCAGGAAACCATTTTACTCACTAGAAGACCAGTTTATTACAAATCAACAACCAGATGCTGGAGGCTAATTCCAGCATGTCATAAACGCAAGAAGTTCATCAAAAGGTTGATGGAACCTTGAGGCTTCAGCAGGGCTGAAGATACATATTATTGCCTGCTGGAATAGCTGAAAGCATTTCCCCAAACCTGAAAATCTACATGTTATTACCTGCTGCTGGCCAAACAGCTGAAGAGCTGAGGGCAGTTCCACCAACCTGACAATGCCTACCATTTACCAGATTTACCTTTGATATGTACATCTGTTTGCTTTAGACCAAAATGTGGGAATAAAAAGCCCTGAGTCCAGAGAAGGAGAGAACTTGGTTATTATAGCTAAGTCTCCTCTGGCTCCCCCATGTATTCCAAATTTATATTTCTAGTCTCTTTATTAATTTACACGCAGCCCCTCCTCCAGATTCCTGAGCCCTTCTAGATGCTGAGAACGACCCCGGCATTAACCAGATGAAGAGATACGTGAGTGTGGTATGTGAACAGGGGCCTGGAGCTGCCATGCTCTCTGTCAGCACCTTTATTCATTCACCAACCTGAAAGCTCTCCACACCCACTCCTTTTGTGTTTTTAAAGGAGGATTCATTACTTAGCCATGTTTCATTAAATCATTGCCCCTTGGTTATCAGTTCAGTCTCCAGCCCCTTCCAATCTCCATCCTTAGGTGAATTAGGAGCATTCCAAAGGTCACCTTATTGACCTAACAAAAGACACCTTTACATTTCTTACCACTTTGGAAATTCCAAGGTTACTGGAACTCTGTGCTAGATATACAGACTGGGGACAAAGATGATATTTATATATTTTTTATAATTCACAATATTTCAACACCCCCCTCCCCAACTACATTCTTAACCTACAAAAGAAGTAATTGAGCCATATGGTAATTGTCAGAATTATGAACAGGGCCTAGATTTCCTTTTTCTAAATCCAGTTTTGATCTCCCAGATGTAGTGTTAGCAACTACAGGTTTTCTAGTCTCATTGGGAAGCTAAAAATAGCAATCAAATGACCAACTGGATGGTCATGGTAACAGGTCTTCATCCTGAAGGGAAAGCCAAAGGCTTTCTAAAACAATGGATTTGGACTTTTAGTGATAAAACCTTTATGTCTCACTTTTTCCGATGTTAAGAGAGAATGAAATAAACCTGAAACTATATGGGCCCATCTTTATTATAGTAGCTTAGCCAACATCAGCCTTAGTGGAAAAAAGTCCATCTGCTTTTTCAGAAACATGGTTTCAGCTAGCTGAGAGGCACTGGGTTTAAGTCTACTTAAGAACTAAGTCATCAGGAACATTACAGTAATGGAAAAAGCATGTTTTCCTTCTTTGAAGGTCACTGCTCTTATTGGTACCAAAAATGAGTCCTGGTAGTATTATTCTTTTTTTCTCCTTTCCTGGGAAGACCTCTGAATAAGTATTAAGTAAAAATGAGCTCTCTTTCCCCCCCTTTTAACTTAAGTGTGCAGAAATGTCTTTGAAAAAAATCAATCAAGAAAACATCCTGATTGCTATTGTTTCAGGTGGCGTGCTGGTTACTAGATCCGGATTCTAAGGAGCCGACTGTTCACAGCATAGTTACCAGTTTTCTTCCTCATGAGCTTCCACTCCTGGACGGGATAGAGACCGGTCAAGGAGTTCAAAGCCTGGGACTGAACGTCGGCACTGAGCATTCGGGGCGATACAGAGCATGTGTAGAGTCCATTCTCATCTTCAACTCTATGAACCAGCTCAATTCTTTGTTGAAGAAAGAAAACCTTCACGGTAAAGCAAAGTTCCTAGCATATTTATGCTGTTACAAATTGGAGATAATTATATATTTAGCCACTTTTTATTATAGAAAAGTAAAATACACTTTTTACACAAATGCTATTGTTGGATTGTCAAGTACAGGGGTCCACAAACGTTTCTGTTGAAGGCCAGATGGTAAATATTTTCGCTCTGCAGGCCAGATAGTCTCAATCACAAATATTCAACTCTGCCATCATAACACAAAAGCAGCCATAGAGATGAAAACAAGTGTTCCAATAAAACTTTATTTACAAAAACGGGCATCTGCCCCTAGTTTGGCCATAATTTGCCGATCTCAGGCTCTACTGTAATGAAGAGAATTAGCGATGTTTTATTCATTTACTAGAGGCCCGGTGCACAAATGTGTGCATGGGTGGGGTCCCTCGGCCTGCCTGGCGATTGAGGCCTATGGGCAGGAGGGGCGGCCAGCTGAGAGGAGGGGCTGCGAGAGGTTGGCCAGCCACGGGAGGTTGGCTGTGGGAGTGCACTGACCACCAGGGGGCAGATCCTGCATTGAGTGTCTACCCCCTGGTTGTCAGTGCACACATAGCGACTGGTGTACCGGTTGTTCCAGTAATTCGGTCATAACAGTTGCTTAGGCTTTTATATACATCGATTGCTTTTATATTTGAACTATATCAAATGATTTTTATTCACATTTAGAATATATCTTTCATGGAATTAAAATGTGAACCATTTTCTTTTTATAGTTATGAACAGTTATTTTTTCAGCAAAGGATATTCATCTGAATCTTTTTTCCCCCACATAACAAATAGCATGGACTTATTATGCAGTCTGCTGGTCCATATTGAGTATCTTGACTTCACAGAGCATAATATATGCTAATGGCAAAAATGATGAAGTGGAAGAAAGTTGGCTTCATTGTGAGAAGATATAAAACATGAACTTATTGCCTGATTAATAAATACTAGAAAGAGCAGACTGATGAATTCACACAGACCAGGGTTTGATTCTGGGCTATGTCACTTGCAAGTGAGGGGCCTTGGGCAAGATACTGAAACTCTCTAAGTCTAGTTCTTATAAAGAGTTATGAGTATTAAATGAGAGAGAACTAAGTGCAATGTCTGTCTCAGAGTAGGCATTCATTTTTGACTTAGTTGATTATTAATATTTTTACTGCTAACACAAGCTCTTTGTGCTGATAGTAATGTTCTCCCTAGTATCATTGGGTAGAATAATACAAAGACCAGACTGACTTGCTTACATGATATTAGCAGCTCTTGAACAGCCACTGAAATGTTTCAAACTTAACTTCTCTGAGTCAATGTAGGCAGGCCAAGGAGTGGGAGTATGTGTGACACATGCCACAGGACTGCTTCTACACTCATGGACAATAATGCTAAATGAACACATCTCTTACCCTCTGCCTGCTGGTCTACTTCCAGGTCAGGTGTCCTGGATACTCTGTATAGTTCCCAGATAATCAACATTTGATGGTGGTAATATGGATTAGTTTGTAACTTTTTTTTTTAATCCTCACCTGAGGATATTTTTCCCATTGCTTTTCAGAGTGGAAGGGAGGGAGGGGGAGGAAAACATAGACATGAGAGAGAAACAGTGATTGGTTGTCTCTCTCTTGTGCCTGACACGGGGCTGGGGATCGAACCTTCAATTGAGGTATGTACCCTTAACCAGGAATTGAACCCTTCACCCTTCAGTCCACAGGCTGATTTTCTAAGCACTAAGCCAAATGGGCCAGGGCCTAACTTTTTTTTTAAAATATGTTTTTATTGATTTTTTAAGAAAGAGTGGAAGGGAGAGTTATAGAGAGATAGAAACATCGATCAGAGAGAAGTATCAACATTGATTGGCTGCCTCCTGCATGCCCCCCACTGGGGATCAAGCCTACAACCCAGGCATGTGCCCCAACCAGCAATTAAACCAATGACTTCTTGGTTCATGATGCCGAACCACTGAGCCACACCAGCCAAGCCAGATTGGTTATTTTTTAATATTTTTTATTTTCATTGTGCCTTGAAAGCTTTTTTTCCTGCAAAAAAAGTTGGTGACTAGGTGTTAAATGCATTCTTGAGCAGTGTTAAGTCTTTTCTTATTCAAAGACTAGAGGCCCAGTGCATGAAATTTGTGCTGGGTATAGTCCCTAGTTCTGGTCGGTGATCGAAGCCGAAGCATCTGGCATGGAAGGGCAGGTCCCAGCTGACCTCTGGGCCCTGGGCAGCACCTAGGCCCCCAGGCCCCCATGCACACCCCTTCGCCTGAGTCACAGCACCTGAGTCCCCACGCGAAGAGGTGGAGAGCGTGACCAGATGTTGAGGGCTGGGGCACAGCATGGGCCTCTGGGCCACCCAGCAGTGTCACATGGAGGCCAGGTTGGCAGCACACTCTCTTCCAGCCGGGCTCGCAGACCAGCTTCTACATAAACCCATGGGGAGCCCAATAGCCCCTTCTGTTCCGGTGGCTGGGCCTGGTTTACTCTCTAAACAGCAATGTAAAAGAAACCTTGCTAATTAATATTTGCTCAACTTTGCCTATAGTCATTGTAAAATGACTATATTTTTCCTCTCTTATACTTTGTTTTTGGTAATAAAGTTATTCTAGTTTCATGGAATGTGTTGATGAATATAACCTCCTTTTATTTTGGAGGAGTTTATGTTTCATAGAAATGATATGTTCCTCAAATTTTTGGTAGAATTTGCCTGTAAACTGTTTCTTTGTGGAAATATTTTTTACTACTACTTTGATGTCTCTAATAACTGTAAGATTATTCAGTTATATCTTTTAGATTATGTTTTGGTAAGCTTTATTTTTTAAGAATTTATCTCTTTCATCTAAATGTTCAAAATTTTTTGTCATAAAGCTATTGTTTTCTCTCTTTTTATTTTTTTTTTTATTTTTACACTAGTGGCCCGGTGTATGAAATTCATGCATGGGAGAGGGGTTTTTTCTCAGCCTGGCCTGCACCCTCTCCAATCTGGGACCCCTTGAAGGATGTCCTACTGCCAGTTTACAGGGATCAGGCCTAAACCAGCAGTCGGGCATCCCTCTCACAATCCAGGACCACTGGCTCCTAACCGCTCACCTGCCTGCCTGATTGCCCCTAACCACCTGCCTTCACCAGCCTGATCACAATGGCCCTGCCCTCCACCAGCCTGATCACCCACAACTGCCCTCCCCTCTTGGCCTCTAACTGCCTCTACCTTGGTACCGCCACCATGGCTTTGTCCAGAAGAACATCTGGAAGGTCTCCTGGAAGGTCTCCCAGTCTAATTAGCATATTACCCTTTTATTAGTATAGATTTCAGGTATATCTGTTATGTCCTCTTTCTCTTTTATAATATTAACTAGGGGCCAGTGCATGAATTCATGCACCTTGATAGGAACTGCGGGCCGCGAGGCTGTGGGGGCCACAGGGGCGGGCTTGGCCCATCCTCCGCACCCCCGCCAGGTCTCTCCCACCAAGCCCAGGTCCCCTGTCTGCCGGCAGCCCTGCTCCCATCACCACCGCTGCTCACACCCACTGATGGCGCTGGTCCCACTCACACCTGCTGATGGCGCGGAGCGATTGGGACTGCCACTCCCACGCGCTGATGGAGCCAGCTCCAGTTGTACCCGCTGATGGTGCCGAGAGATTGGGGCTGGTGCCAGCAGCAGGTGCAAGTAGGGCCGGTGCTGTCAGTGAGTGCGAGTGGCGGCTGCTGCCCTGACCGCCCCTCAGGAGCAGGGGGAGGTGGAGAAGCCCTTGGGGTGATTGGGGCCAGCATCCACCACTTGCACCCCCTGATGGCACTGAGCAATCGGGACCAGTGCTGGGCACCGGCAATGGGTTCGAGCAGTGACTCCAGCGCTGGCTGTGGGTGCAAGTGTGGGTGGCACTGGGTGCGAGCTGCGGCTCCGGTGCCAGCAGTGGGTGCAAGTGGGGTGGTCGCCGGCAGCAGGTGTGAGTGTTGGGCAGGACTGTGGCATGTGGGAGCAAAGAATTTCAGTAACCTCCAAAGGCTTGCCCCGATGACAGCAACTGGCACCCCGCCTTGGTCTGGCGCCCCCCTGCTCACCTGCTCCACCTTCCTGCCACAGCCTATGCCTTCCAGGTTCCATGCTCTGCTACCTGCTGCTGACACCCGCCATGTTCTGTGCATGTCCCTTCATGGTCAGCGCACGTCAAAGTGACCTATTGTTTGGTTGTCCACCATTCAGTCTATTTGCATATTAGCCTTTTATTATATAGGATTTACTTCACTGGGTGTTTATCCAGTTTTTCTGACTTTTCAAAGAGCCAGTTTTGCCTTTGATCTTTCTATTGTTTTTGTTTTCTATTTCCCTGAATTCTGCCAACATTTATATTATTTCTTTTCTTATAGTTTATTACTTTATCTTGCAGTCCTTTTTCTAAATTCATAAATTTGATACTTATTACTTTTCAAGTCATTTTTTGTTTTCTAATTTAAGTACTTAAGACTATAAATTTTCCTTAAAACTTTACTTTCATTTTATTTCACAATTTTTGACATGTAATGTTTTCATCATTTTATTCTAAATATTTAAGAATTTCTGTTATGACACATTTTGGCTTATAGATTATTTAAAAGATCGGTTTTTAATTCCTGAATACTTGGAAACTTTTTATTTTGTATTCTTACTTTTACCTTCAAACTTAATTGTATTGTGGTTAAAGAACATAGTTGTATAATACCCATTCTTTGAAATTTTTTGAGTTGCTTTGTGACCTAAAACTGGAACTGTGGTGTAAATGTTCTATGCATATCTAAGAAGAATGCGTATTCTAACTCTGATGCAGACGTTTATAAATGTCTTTTAGTCAGGGTTGTTGTTTAAAATTTCTATTTCTAATGTTACATGTTGTTCAGTCAATTTTAACTATCTACTGAGACCATTTAATCAGATGCATACATATTTAAAATTGATTTATCTTCCTGGTGAATTAAAACATATATTTATGTAGTGACCAGCTCTACCACTAGTATTTTTTTTCTTAGTCTATTTTCTGGAATGAATATTGCAATATCAACTTTCTCTTGATTAATATTTGCTTCATATATCTTTTTCTATTCCTTTTAAACCTGAAGGTCCTATGCTTTATTTTATTTATTTATTTATTTTGGTCCTATGCTTTCATGTTTCTTATAAACAGAATATAGCTTATTCATTTATTTTTCAAACGTAACAATTTTTTTTAATTTACCAATTTATTGTGATTATTGATATATTCACATTCTGTTTCCCTGATGCCTTACTTTGTATTTGTCTCTTTTTTATTTGGTGACTAGTTCATTCATAGCTGTGCCCTGTGCAGTAACCATTTCATATCTGCAACTCTTGAAATCTAAACCTGCCATTTGTTGCTTCTGCTGAATTCCATTAATATTTCTGTGCTCTTGTATTTTTCATACTTTTTGTGAATTCCTACAAGATTTGAACAGTGGAGCCCTGCTGGCCTGACTTGAAAAAGCTTTCCCTCCACAAAGGTTTTCCTCTTGTCCCCACTGTTGTCAAACAACACTGTGTCCTTGGACCACATCAGCCTGCCTTGAGAGTTTTGGTTCAGAACAGGAGTCTGAGAATTAGCTTCTCCTCCTGTTGGTATTCTAAAGATATGCATCCTCTCAACCTCTTGGCTATAGGACTTTATTCCCATGACAACCCCGCTCCTTCCTGCTGCCTAAGGTTCCAGTTGAGCTCCCTGTCACTCTGACTGCTGTTCTGACTGTTCTTATTCTGACCCTGGTTCCTTATTTTTCCAGTCCCGCTAGTCCCTTGAATTTCTGCTTTGAGTTCAGGACTCAAAAGTAGACTGACTGCCTGATATCTCCTCCTGTTAGAGGCCAGTAGTTCTCACTTGTTTTAGTGTTGATTGTGGGTGTTCCCGGAGATCTCTCTCCCGCTGATTGAGACCAGCAGTGCCTCAGAGACCAGGGTTTCTTAGAGTCCTACTGACCCACAGTACTGGAAAGTGAGATCTTTGGTGTGGATTTTTTTCTTAATGATTTGGGACAGTGTTTCTCAGTGCATTCTAGGGACACTATTCAGGATGTTAGTAAGTATTATAAAACAGAGAGTTTTATGGTTGAATAATTCCAGACTTTTGGTTAATACAAAATTAAATAATTGTCTTTGCTTCTGGTCTTCTCAGAGCCTTTTGTGTATTAACAGGACTCATGAATATCCCAGAGCAGTATATAAATGCTGAACTCAAAGCATACAGTGCCACATTTCTTATAGAGTATCTTTGGGACTAAAATTCCGATGAACTTGGAAAATTGATTTAGAATGGCAACTCTGTTGAAAAATGTCAGCGGATAGAAAATAATCTGATTCTTAAGGAATTTTCTTTACTCTTTGGTAAAGTGCATCAGAAAATGTAAAACCTCCATATTTAGTTCTTTGTGCAAGCATGCATGCCATGGGACCAGGAATACTGGAAACAATTTTAGGGAATTAACACTTTGTAGTCAGTTTAGCAAATAAAATTAACTATTTTTCTCTTGCTAAGAGTAGAAGCAGAAACATTATTTTGGGAGAAAAGCAGTCTCTTGTAATCCAGACTGTTCACAATATTGCCAATTCTTCTATCCTCTGGATGGCCAAGGATAACAGTCTAGTGCTTACGTGGAAAAGTGGGAAGTACTTTTATGCCTTTCATTGTTGTTTTGAGAACGCTGCTCAGGCAACTGGATTGTGAAGGAGAGCTTAGGTATCACCTTCAGGCTTTGCTAGAAGAATTCTATGCACAGAGTTAGATAATGATGCTGATCTAGTCAGTTGGATGGTAAATTAATGTTTTAGTTTTCCTTTTGTCTTCCAGATGCTTTATGTAAAGTGGAAATGCCCTGTCAGTACTGCTTGGCCTTGCTAGAACTGAATGGAATCGGCTTTAGTACTGCAGAATGTGAAAGTCAGAAACACATAATGCAAGCCAAGCTGGATGCAATTGAGACTCAAGCCTATCAACTAGCCGGCCACAGTTTTTCCTTCACCAGTACAGATGACATCGCTGAGGTTGTATCATAGGAATAGGGAATTTAGAAAAGTAATTTTTAGAGTTAAAAATGGGGTGTGTGTTTATGCATGTGTGTGGGTGCATTTCCTAAATGAGTTTATCTAAACATCAAGGATCAGAAAAAAAACAACACAGTTCATTTAAGCAGAATACTTTGGAGATAGAGTATTCTAGCATATAATTTATGTTATATCTTATATTTATGAAATAGGAAGATGATAAAGAAGGTTCCTAGACCATAGGCTCTATGAGAAGGGAAATTGCTTGGAACAGAGGAGGCACTTAATAAATATTTTGTTGCACAAAGATAGTTGCATAACAGCATAGCTCTTGTTCCATGAAGTTATTAACTTCATGAGCTCTCACCTCTAAATCCTCTTTTAGAATACTAGATATTTTTTCAGTTGTTAATGAAAAATGGATTTTTGTGATTATTTGCTTTTTAAACCTAATTAAGATTTTTATCACCTTACATAAGTTTTGACATGGTTTATTCTTGGTTTTTATTTTGAAAGATTGGTGTTCTATTCTCCTACAAATGTAGGTTGGGTGCTAACACTTAATAGCATACGGTGTTTTCAGATGTGATTCAATAATATAAGATATTGGTGAAGATCATAGGCTTTAGAGACAGATTTCCTGGGTTTGAATCCTACCTCCTTCATTTATTCACTAACTCTAGTACCTACCTGAAAACACATAAAATTACATAAGGAATTTATCAAAAATATAGAACCTCTGGATTTCAGTATGACTAGGCTTGGAGGAAAGGCAGGAACCTGTGCCTTTGTGACTCAGATGTGTACTAGTGTATTAGAACCATAGGCCTAGATCAAACTCTGAGCTGGAATAAAAGTCCGTTGGTGTTATTAGCTTGTTCTTAGGTCTTCCATGTTAAAACAGAAGCTATATATAAGGTGATCTAACAGTTTCACACTGAGTATTTAATCCTTGCTGATTTTAAGTTGAATCTTTGAATTGGACAGGAGCCACTAATACTAATACAGGAGCCACTCGCCACCTGGCTGTTTAAATTTAAATTAATTAAAATTAAATAAGATATATCAAATTAGCTCCTTATTTGTGCTAACCACATTTCCAATGTTTAGTAGCCACATTGTGGCTAGTAGCTACCATATTGAATAGTGAAAATACAAAACATTCCCATTATTGCAAAATATTCTTTCAGATGGCACCGATCTAGAGCAGGGATCAGCAAACCACAGCTTGCAGGCCAGATCTGTGGAACACAGCCACGCCTCCTCATTTACTTATTGTCTATGGCTGCTTTCATTCTATAGTCACACAGTCGAGAAGCTGACAGACAGTAAACCATGCAAAGCTGAAAATACCTGTTATGGGGCCCTTTGTGGGAAAAGTTTGCTGACGGAAGCATAGGTTAGTGAAAAGAAAAAAAGGACTTTATAGTTATAAGACTCTGGGTTCTAATTCTTAATTCTACTTTCTGGCCATGTAATATTGAACACGTTTTTCAGATTTGTCGCAGAATTGTCATAAAGTTACATGTGATGACACATGTTAAAGCACCTAGCATAACGGCTGGCATATAGCAGCTGTTCAGTAAATCATAGTGCTTCTTGCCCTGTCTTGTTCAACTCCCTCATTTCACAGATGTGTTCATTGAAGCCTGGAGAAATAATTTATACACAAGATCCCCTCTCTGCCCCAGAGCCTGTGTAGGCCTTGTTTCTTCAGTGAGTGCGTTGGCCACTCTAGCTTTCATTATTGCTACATTGGGTTGGCCACCTTCTTCTGACTTTGTGTCCAGGGACTCTCAGGGTCCAGCCTTATGGCGGTAGAATTAGATGGCTTTTTGGACCCCTTCCTACTTACTGTTTTCTGATTTTTGTGATCAGAATAACCATGAAGGCTCCCATGTTGATTCTATGGGGCCTAAATGATTGAGCAGCCAAATTGTTTACCACATCAAGTGGTATTTAGGAGCATTCACAATCCTCAGAGTAACCTAAAGTCTCAATGTCAATAGCTTATTTGTCAGTTGTTCAGCACAGAGTACACATTCCTGTGTTCTTGATGTTTAAAAGCCTGGTGTTAGTATTCATCTGTCAGTGCCTAAGTAGTATGGGTAGCCTACTGACACATCAATTTTATTACCATTATTTATTAAATGCGATAATTCAAAATTCTCCTAAAAACCCCACACCATTCTTCCAACCCATGTTGAACTATATGATTGTTTTCTCAAATAACTTTAAAATTGTTTTCTTTTTTAAAAATTCTTTATTTTTTAAAGTATTACATGTCTCCCTTTTCCCCCTTAATGACAGTACTTGAGATTTGATTCTTGACTAAGAAGCTTTAATTTCTTACAGGTTTTATTTTTGGAATTAAAGTTGCCACCAAATGGAGAGATAAACAACCAAGGCAGCAAGAAAACTTTGGGAGCTACCAGAAGAGGGAATGACAATGGACGCAAGCTAAAGCTGGGAAAGAGGTTCAGCACGAGCAAGGTGCTCTTTGGGGTAGTCACGGGGCAACACTGAACTACTTTTAGCATGTTGGTGTCTTCAAAGAATGTTGATGAAATCAAGATCCAACGTAGCGCACCATTTGAACTTTTCCACAATAAAACAAATTGGTTTGTGGTTTGGTGGCCACAATAAATGTGGAGATGTTTCAGCATGGAAAATCGGGACCATAATCTGAGTTAGCGGTTGTGTCCTTCCTATCATTAAAACAGCGTAAAGGTTTGTAAACCTCAGACCTGTAGACATCATTTAATTATTGACATCCACTATTCTTAGACTTCCAGTATAATATAATTTATACAGTTATAGGAACACTAGAGGCCTGATGCATGAAATTTGTGCAAGAGTGAGCCTTTGCAGCCTCGGCTGCTTCGATCCCTCCCTTGTAGCCTCGGGCAGCTGCCTGGATCTTGCTGCTGCAGCCCTGGCTTTGTCCCGGAAGGACATCCGGTCTAATTAGCATATTATGCTTTTATTATTATAGATGAACAAAGATATGGGAAAATTTTTTTTTAAAAGAGAAAAAAACCCAAGCCAATACAAATAAAATCCTTTTTTTCTTTTCAATCAGGGCAAAATAATAAGTTTTACATTAGTTTCTTTTAAGAGTCTAACCTGCTGATTTCAAAGTATAATTGCTAGTTATAATTCATAGAAAGTATATGCATGGGAGAGAAGAGAGAAAGGGCTTATTTTGCATTTTTGCTGTAGAATGTTGACCCTAATATCATTAACTATGTCTTGCCTTATCTGGGGAAGTTTCCACAGCTTCATTCTGTAGCAAAACTTTTTATTTGAGCTCACACGTTTCTATTTGTTAACATTCATTGAAAGTCTTTAGCATGGAAAATTTAAAGTGTTAAAATAAATGTCTTCAAATTTTCTTGATACAGCAAACCATGAAAATATTATGGCAAAAAGGGGGGAAAGGGAAACTTCCAATTATTTGAGGAATGGAGGAGAAAAATATAGAGATAAAAAGAGATGATGTAAACTCTTGGGTAGAGTGTGGGTAGATCTAAATTGATGTTGCTCAGCATTAATATGTTTGCTTTTAATAATCTGTAGTTATCATAGTTTTAGCATTATTGTGATTTCTATAAAACCCAAACAGTAATTTTGAGTTATAGATACAGAGGTTAGCAAATTTAATTTGGAGACTATATTATTTACCTAAAAGAGGTTCTATTTGCTAAGGAATTTGCATAAGAATCAGATCTTAACCTTGTGTTTCTTTGGCAGGATGTTTTAAACAAATTAAAGGCATTGCATCCTTTACCAAACCTGATATTAGAGTGGAGAAGAATTACTAATGCTATTACCAAAGTCGTCTTTCCCCTGCAGCGGGAAAGGCGTCTGAATCCTTTCCTTGGCATGGACAGAATCTATCCTATTTCACAGTCACACACTGCTACAGGTAATGAGGAATTTTAAATGTGGATAATACCAAATTTTGAAAAAAAAAGTTTCATAAATATTTTCTTAGGATCACTAAGGAATTCAAGTGTGGATCATTGGGTTAAATGAAGTTTCGTAAACATTTATAAAACACATACTACATCCAAAGCATAGGTGGATGGTACCTAGATACAGAGATGAGTTAGTAAGATATAGCTTCTGCTTTCAAGTACTGTATAGAGAAGCTAGGTGTCCGAGACTGATTTATATCCAGAATTAAATATTTGAGTCGGTGATCTTATCTAATTTCAGTCCTAGCCCTCTCCCGAACACCTTAAGATTCTCTCCAACTTGAATCTAAGTAGGTATATGGGGCTTTTGTATAATGAGTGAGCATCTTATTTCACTCAATTAGAAAAGAGCTCTGGAGTCCTTTGGTTGTCTCATGGCCCTCTTGGCATAGATGTGAGTGTAATATGGTGCGGAAAAAAGTTTTCTTTCTCTAGGCAGTGCAGAACTTTATTTTTTTCCTGAATTCTTTATTTTTAAATTTTTAAAAAAATATATTTTTATTGATTTCAGAGAGGAAGGGAGAGGGAGGGATAGAAACCTTCTGAACCCCCCAGGCTGGGGATGGAGCCCACAATCTGGATTGTGCCCTGACAGGGAATTGAACTGGGACCTCCTGGTTCATAGGTCGACGCTCAACCACTGAGCCGCGCCCACCAGGCCACTTTAAATATTAGCCAAATGCAGTATGCAGTAGAAGTAAGGGCAGTGTTAACTCCTTCATAGGGAAGTTTAGATGGATGGTATGGATTTTGATACCAGATTTTTATAAGGTTTGAATCTGGTGCTATTAATCTTTAGACAAAGTGCTAACCTCTCAGTGCTCAAGTTTTCTCTTGATAAAAAAGTGTAATAATAGTCATATCTCACCGATCATCCTGAGGATTTAATGGGATAATACCTGTCAAGCGTTAGAATAGTGCATAGCATTTAGTGTGTGGCTTATCACCAGCTATTGCTGTTAGTAAGGATGGAAGCACCATGAGGAGCTGCTTTTTTCTCTGCTTGTTTATTCCTTGTTCTCAACTTCTCTTTTCCTTCTTCTCTATATAACTAACCTCTTAGTTCTTCCTAGCCATTCCTTGCCCTCTTAGTATTTCAGTTTCATTGGTGTAAACATATGTAAAATAAATCCTTGTTGGTGAAAAAAACAAAATCAACCTAGAATTTCAAAGCTGTTGCACACTTATTTGTTGCTTATAAAGCAGAAAGTAATCCATTCCATGTATCTACATTTAAAGAATATTTTAGAAATAGAAGTTTCCTTAAGTGTAGAAAAGCCATTTCATTATTAGACTTCATCTCCATAATGCTACCTTCATATTTTGTCATTTTTATCATCTTGTTTGTCTGCCAGTGTTACCTCATTAATTCAAACACTAAACCTGACAATGAAGTAGAATTACAGAAAAGAAGACAGTGTCCTGAGGCACAAAGATGGATTCTTTTTTAAAAAAATATTTTTTTATTGATTTCAGAGAGGAAGGGAGAGGGAGAGAGAGATAGAAACATCAATGATGAGAGAGAATCATCGATTGGCTGCCCCCTGCACATCCCCAACTGGGGACTGAGCCCACAACCCAGGCATGTGCCCTTGACCGGAATCGAACCCGGGACCCTTCGTTCCACAGTCCAATGTTCTATCCGCTGAGCCAAACCAGCTAGGGCTCAAAGATGGATTCTTCATCTGCTATTTGTTAGCTTTGTAACAGTGAATAGGCCATTTAATGATAATAATTATATTAATATCTACCATTAATTGTGGACTAGTTTTTGCTAACAGCTAAATAACAGAGGCATAATATAATGGGTTTATTCAGGAAAACAATATTCTAGGTACTTACAATGTCTGACTTATTAAAAGAAGGTAAAATTACATATAGTAGCTAGTAGAGAGTCTATTACAATGGTGTATCATAAAACACATCACTACACATGTATTATAAAAACTGCAAAAAACAAAATCAGTTACCCAAACTTTTTTTAAGACTCTGTTTAAAAAAAAATCTATACCTCTCCCCTTTTCTCTGTAAAAAATCAATAAAATATATTTAAAATAATAAATAAATAAATAAATAAATAAATAAATAAATCCTCATCTGAGGCTGTGTTATTGATTTTTAGAGAGAGAGGGAGAGGGAGAGAGAGAAAGAGAGACATTGGTTGCCTCCCATATGGACCCACAAACCTGGGTATGTGCCCTGGCTGGAATCAAACCCTCGACCTTTCTGTGTACAGGATGATGCTCCAACCAAGTGAACAACACCAGCCAGGGAAACTTCTTTTGAACAATGTTTATGTGTTCTAGAGAAATTCAACCAAGAAGTAAACAAATAAAACGTAAAATATTTTGGGGAAAATAAAGTCTATAAACATTTAAGCAAATTGCTTTCTGTTTCTTAAGAAAACTCATTAACTACCTGATTCTAGTCTTCAGCTATGTGTCCATGTTAGCATTGGTCCTTTTGATGAGTGATGATGAGGAGGAAAATCAGCCAGGTGAGGTCTAGAAAGGGACGTTCTACCTCTCACGGCTACTCTATCTCCCACGTAAGCTAACTCCTCTGGCCCAGTTGTCCCTCTTCAGCACTCAGGTTGCTCTTTAGCTCCAAATCCTCTTCCCTGTATCTTGAGCATTCCTGGCTTTTAAAGGTGCTGACAATCCTTTAGCCTAGGATCCATTTGATTAGTCTTCATTCATTAATGTAACTGCTAACATTTTATAGTGCTGACATCTGATACTCATTTTAGCACAGGAATAGTTCAATTTATCAAATTAGTTCGTATCATAGGCTTGTTTTCTAGAGAGCTAGGTTAATGTACAACATTGTATTATAGCTGATTCATATGTTCACTTACATTGGAATTTATCTTGTACTTATTTTATCATTGTTAGGCACATAAACATAATGAAAAATATTTTATTTAAATATAAATTTATTTTATTTTAGCAATAATAGAGCGTACATTTTTAAGCTAATTCAGAAATGCAATTACAATTAAGATAAATGTTAGATTCCCCCCTCCCCCTAATTTTATATCTTTATTCTATTTGATTTTAGGACGAATAACATTTACAGAACCAAATATTCAGAGTGTGCCAAGAGATTTTGAGATCCAAATGCCAACACTAGTAGGAGAAAGCCCACCTTCCCAAGCCCTAGGCAGAGGCCTACTTCCCATGAGCAGGTAGACATTATGTTTTTTTGTTTTTGCGTTAATATATTTTTGTGAGTATGAATGGCTTGAAAATAGCCTAGTGGACAAAATAATGAAAATAGTTGAAATTTCTGTTTTAGCTTTAT